AAACTTCTCACCTGAGTAATGCTTTTATACTTATTAAAAATGTTTTCATTAACAGTAAAAATTAAAAAGTTATTTAATAGGTAGATTATATTAAATCAATATATTAATTTATTTATTTAAGCTATTTGATCTCGATATAGTATTCATTATTGGAATTTGGATAACATTACCACAGCAAAATTATATAAAAACATACAAAATACAAATAAATATTGGTAGCTGGTAACCAATGCAATTTTTTTTTGTCAAATGCTTTATTATTTAGATATATTAAACGAAAATACTCGAGTACCTAATAATTAAGGGTAAACAATAGTTTTTCTAAATTATACAATTATATTAAGATGAGAGGTGTATAATAATATCCCTACTCTCAACACAAGTATTTGTTTATATAGAGTAGGTATCAACTTTTAATCTAAGAAATAACCCATGTATATGTACAAATAGTTGAATAAACATTATTATTATTATTATTATTATTAATATAGTTATGAAATTCAATGATATATATTTTTATAAAAACAAAATAACCAAACCTTGGTAATAGGCAATAGCCTTATATGTTTTTTTTTTGCGAAAATATTACCTTTGATTGAAGGACTTATCATGGTGAATTAATATTGAATATAATACGAAACACAAATGTACTCAAATTATTGGTCGGGTGTCTTTATAATTTATATACTATCAGTTTGATCATAAACATATTACATGTAATGTATGAAAATTATCGATAATGTGAAAACATTACTTATATGTACCTATCACTAGAGAGCCGTAATAATAATAATTATTATTAAGGCTCTCTACCTGTCACAATACATTTATTAGACTCCTACAAGCTAGCAATAATGGATTTATAGAAATTATATTTATTTATATGTATATACTGGTTAAAATTATCGATGAATAATATTGATAATGTTAATCACTTTGTCCCAAAAAGTGAGAATAGTTTATAAATATTAAATGTAAAATTATCGATGACTGTGTAGTGTGTATAATTAATATTTAATTCGTATTAGGAAAAAACCCAAATATGACATATTGTCCGAATAGGTCTTACTTCTAAACGCTAATCATAGATACATATCATTTGGTTTACTGTATCACCTTTGAACAATTTTAATTTAAATATCAAAATCCGACAATTTAGGAAAAGCTACAATTTGCATGTATACCTCTATAGTCTATACACTATTACATACAGACTTTAATATAGAAGTATAAATTCATTGAACCTAATGTAATATTTATTCGAAATTAGGTTTAGTTGGTATTTTACTTTATTAACTGAATCAAACGAGAGACAATAAGGGCACAATTTTTTTAAATCAGTTTCATAATATTCAAGTATTATTAAGAACATTATAAATATAATTTTACCGTAGATAAGCAATAGTCAATAGGTAAGCTCATGCATATTTTTTATTCTGTAATCGGAAATGCTAATTTATTTAATATTAGATATACCAATTAGATCTTATTTGGTACCTACTTATTGATGTTTGAATGTCTAACACTTCCCCAACACAAACTTTTAAGTTTGGAAGCACAAAACCTATACTTAATAAAAATGTTTTTGTATCACAAATAAAATGACTCATTTGGATTTTATATTATGTATTTTTATGTGTATAATCTTTTGTCTACATTGTAGAAATTTATAACTATCATAGACAATCACAATGAGTATTCCGCATACGGTTTTGCCTCAAGTCAAACATGGTTTTAACTTTTATACAGTATCCTCGACTCTATACTTTTATCCCGTTGGCGAGAAAAACAGTTTGAATTATTATAGGTACCTCGTACCTACATAGTACATACCATACTTAAGTCTTAATTTGTTATTATTATTAAAGAGATATATTTTGTTATTTAAAGTTATACATACTATAATATATGATATATAATATAGTAGCCAAAATTGTTAATTTAGATTTGTGTACTTAACTATAAAAATTTTTTTTTTTTAAATATTACATATTATAGTATTTTACTATTTAAACCGTTCATTAAAGTAGGTAAGGTATGTCACTCGTCTAATTTACAATTTCATTGATAAAAAAAAATAATTTGATTACCACGAGCATCACCAATCTAAACTCTTATTGAAATTATTTATATTATTTAATGAGATTGCTATTAATCACTACTGTAGCAGCAGCTGCGAATAGTGCTATTATGATTTGCAATTTAATACCTCTAGCTCACACGCTGTTTAAATGGGTAAAACGGCTAATAACGAGTATACGATTAAAATAGATTTAAATTTTAAAGCAATATAGAATTTAAACGATAATTATTGTTTTCATTAATTGCCATTTGAAGAAACAAAAATGTGTCATACATACCGATCAACTGCAAGATGTGACAGCCGACAGGTAGGTACATATATATTTGGCCTTGCCAATATGTTCTACTTGTCTGTACTCCATGTAGTCTGTACATCACGCGAGTGTCAAACGATTGCGGTTAAACATTCTCCGCATGGCATCCATTAACACTTTTTACAGTTCAAGAAAAATAAATACATGTGCTTTTATTATAAATGTTTTTTTATTTATATTCTACGTGACTGTACAAATATAGTAAGTACTTGCCTAGATATATTTTAACCAGAAATAATACAGTTAAAACTACCAACAAAATGCAATACAATTATAATAATATTCATGGATCAGATTATAATATAGATAAATACATATTTAAAATAATAAATTAGTAACTAGGTACCTAATAAGTAGGTATCTAATAAGCTATATATTCCATTGCACAACAAATTATAGCGAGACTAAAATACAAAAATAATTTAAACAAGCAATTAATTAATTTTACACGTAGTTTTTTAAAAAGGCAAAAATGTGAAGGCTTTTTGATTAAGAATTATAATGACATTATTATCATTGATTAATCAATAAATTGAAAACGATTTCCCTACACGGGCTACACGTGCAATGATATTTACAACAAAATATTACTGAAGTGCAAAAAAATAAATATATAATACACCATAACTAATATATAACCATATAGGCATATAGTCTTATAGAATCACTTTATTTTCCGGTCATCAGCAAGAATAAAAGTGGCCATAACCTCCATATTTAGAGTAGAAAAACTTCAAGGTTCGGTAATATTTAATTTATTTTAAATTATATTCTTCACTGGACTATAATAAGGACCTCGGAAATACCAAAATATTCGTTTGAAAACTTCATGGTGAATCTACAGCTTGTAATATTTTCATAAAGGTGCAATAATGATTGTGACGTATCTATGCTTGTACCTTGAGACAAACAAAATATAACAATAGGTAGTCGAAAACTGACGTAGCTTTGAGCAATGCGTATTATATTATAATTTATAAAATGAGTCTGAAAATTTTAATTAGGTATACAGATATTCATATAAATGATTGAAGAATAATTACAGTCATGTATAATAATAATATGCTAACAACAATAGCTATAATAATACAACTTGAATACTTACCTGGTGGTTTTTTATGTCTTAATGTCTGTAAAAAAAATGTCTCTAAAAAGTTGAAAATTATACAAATTAATTTAACAGATATATTCAGTGCAGCTATACACCTTTACTTGCCACCGTTTTCCTTTATTTTAGTTTAATCAGGCAAATTTTAATGAACTAAATATATCTATTTGAACATGTCAGTGGCGTGGGCATGTGGTTCTAAGAGGGCTGCCCTCGAAATTACAGAAAGCTTTCAAAATGCTTTCAGTGATCTGTAAACGTTTAACGTAAGATGCAAACGTATGTATTAAAATTGCAATTTGTATGAAAATTGCTGTAAAAGTTTTGAACATTATATAACTATATACCCACGGCATCAGAATTCCAAACTTAAGAATGGATTTTTGTTGACTCAGCTAAATAATTTATACTTAAATCTAATAATTAAATAATATATATACATTTATCATAATAATCATACAAAGGTAATTAGGTAATAATAATAATAATAGGTAGTACATTTGTGAACTATAAACTATTATGAGTTATGAATTTGTGATTTTCATATTACCTATATGTATATCATATCCACTACATGTGATTTCAACCATAGAATAATACAAGATGAATATAGTTACTAGCTATAAACTAGTCTCTCATACCGCATCTTATATCTTAATTGACCTTCAAGTACCTATTTCACGGCTATATTTTCATGTTGGATCCAACTAAAATAGACAACAAAAAATTAAAACTATGTACCTATAAGTATATAAAAATGAATGTTTCTTTCTAACGTTCTTTCTTTGTCTATTAAATATACAGATACCTAACCTAACCGGACTGTTTTCTATGAAAGTTGGATCAATAAATTTCTTGAGATTATAGGAGACCATCTGTTGCTTGGTATTTCAACCCATAGATAGGTCGCTATAGCAGGGTGGCTCATCGCTCATAGTTCATCCAATTTTGCTTCGGCTCTCGAATATCGATACATTTTTTGTTTACATAATTATAAATATGTATCATGTATGTATAGGTTTGATATTTATTACAGATACTAAAATAATTACCTATTACTTATTATGATTGCATATTTGCATATAATTTTCCGCATGGTATAATATCTGGTCATTATTAGGCTAATATAAATAATTATCTTAAATAAATGTAAAATTGAGTAATAGCTATATTATAATATAATACATTATAAAGGTAAAATGTATGTTTGAGGTTTATATAAATGCTAAACAAATAGTCGACCAAATTTGTCAGAAAAATGTATTGAGAATATTTCAATTGGAGCAAAACATAAATACTAGATGGACAGATTATAATAGATAGATGGATTACACAGATATATATTGTTAGTCAGGTTATATCCAAAAGACGCACATACAAATCCACAGTTTTAATCAATTTGAACCAAAAATTTATTTTAATCGTATTTCTCACGAGTTGTAAGAGTATCAGTATATATAGAAGTCATTGGTAACTGTTACATTATATTTTATTTAAAGCAAAGTGTATAACTTATGCTTGTCCTGATTATAAAATAAAAAAAATACTTTGACTGATTTTGACGATTCGTGGAAGGGTGGTTTGGATAATAGATTGAACAAGTTAGTTAGTTTAAGGTGATTTAACCGCTATTAATAATATTAAAATCATAACCACGCATTCGTTTATTTTTGCTCGTGATTGGTTACTCGTACCTAAAGCTAAATCCCCGTCCAGGCCATGAAACATTCACCGGAAATATATGATTATGAAATTGTTGTTCACAAATCTTTATGCTTATGACAGAAAATCAGAAATTTTGTCAACGACTTATTTTTCTATGGTCTAGATCTGGAAGATACTTAAGAAAAAAAAATCGATTATTAGTTATCACATTATCCGTGGTTAGTGGACACCCATCTTGACTTCATTTATTTCCAGTCAACGCAGGGTGATACAGGTGTAGTAACTATAGTACCTAGGTAATAAATAAAACACGACCAAAAGTTACTATATTATTATTTTTTACTATACGTAACAAAAAATGATTAAAACTTATAAGCTATAAGTATTGTTAAATGTTGAATTTCATAATTATTATTATAGGGCTGGAACAAGCTGAAGTCAATCATGGAGATCTGCGGTATAATTGATATAAAAGTACCGGCCAAAGGTAGAAAATTCGGTTCATGGAAAGTATGTTCATATTTTATATTGTTTTATTGTTTTTGATGTTTTTGTAATAAAAATATGATACAATGATAATTAAGTAAGACTTTTCTGGTTAAATGTACAGCGGCCAAACATGGTTAAATCAAATTCACATATTAAGATAATATATTTAATTTAATAATAATAGGAGCATATACATTTTTAACAACCACTAATAGTACATTTAATAGTTAGTTCTTAATTATTATGTTTGTTAATAATGTTAACAGGCGTGGAAAAGCCAATGGTGTGAGGTTCTCAAAAACGAAAATCGTATGGTCATCAACATTGGACATAGTAAGGGAAATGTCACATCGTGTTTAGCAGTACCTAACAACGCAATCATCTACCGAATTAAATCCAGGTCGATACACATAAGCATAATATTTGAATATTACAAATACATAAAATATAATATTTTACCTATATGTATACTATTTATGATATATCAGTATATATATATACATAATATTTATATGGATACAATTCTTTTATAATGTAATATCTTAAGACCGGAAGAATTGACCCCAGACACTCAAAAGTTGAAAAAATTGAAAAAATTATTATAATAACATCAGAATGGTGTAGATAAAACCTGAGAACGTTTTACAATTTTAATCAGTTTTTAGGTATTTTTTCAATGCATATAATATAATATTAATAGTTTGCCTAATTTTTATTATTTTTAATCTGCAATTTAAGAGATAGACTTTTAACCAAAAAAACATTTAAGAATCAACAAACGTAATTCAGGTTAGGTCTTGAGTTATTATGATTGTTATAAATGTTCAAAAATGTTATCAAAATGTTTACTTAGGTATGATTGATGTTTTTATTTTTTCACCACTATAGGACTAAAGCCTACGGTTTCGGAATATTTTATGCAGGACAAAAGGAACAACAACCATGCATTTTTCTCGCTGGAAAATCAGAAACAGAGTCTCAAAAATGGATGAAATCTATAAGAGATGTTCTAAAACCACCAACACATAAAAGTACGAATCACGATCAACTATCTACATATCATATTTTATCAAAATATTATATTATAAGATTATTCAATTCACGCCTTTGGTATCAATGTATATAAAATATATAAAAAGAGTAAAATACCGTATGATTACGATGCATAAATGTATAATTATATTTTTATAATATTATATACCTGGCTGATGGTTATCTTATAAATGATTAAAATATAAGCTAGTTATCTCTAATTATTAAAAAAAGGTTGGTTGTTAAGTCTGTTATTGTTGTATTACTTGTATTCATTTATTTATTTACAATAGCTCAATACATTATATTATACAGAGGTGTATTAATTATGTTAATGTATTTTTTAATTAAAAAATTGTAATAAGTATGAAGACACTTAAGTAGAAACTGAATTAATGAAGAAACAACAATTTAATATGACGCAGATCGAATAAACACTATAAAGATATAGGTACCTAACGCAAATGATTCCTCATAATAATTTCAACAATTTATAGGTTGGGTTATTACTTATTAATATTAATAGAAAAAAATTTCTACACAGAATAAAATTATTTGAATGCAAATTTTGACTTTTTGAGAACTTTAAGAATCTTATAAATAAGTTTTCACTCAAAGACATACATTCATGATTGACAGTTGTTTAAAACTGAATGAAAAGTTATTCTGACTAAAATCGTTTAAGTTATATATTGTCATAGCGGTTATCCATACGCTGATTTGAATAAGATATATCATTGAGTAATTAAAGTTAGTACCTAAATTTTGTTCCTATGGTGAATAATGTAGGTACAGCATTTTTAACGAGGATGAGGAGACAACACTATTTAGGTGTAGTTTATATTAGACATTAGTTATATCTACGACTCTCTTGAATAAAATACGAATAAACTATTTGATGATATTATGCTGATATACTGTCAGTTACTCGTATAAATGAATAATAATTAGATCTCCCACGCATCTTATTAGAACTTTGCAAAAATTAATTAATTAATTTGACACATAAATAAACGGAAAGTATAAATAGATAATAGAAGTTATACATTATTCATTGCAGAGACAACAAACGAGTATACTGTATCGATAATTGACAATGAACATTCTAAAACGGCAGGTTTAACCGGATTGTATGGTACTCTATCAGTAAAGTCAGAAGAAATATTGGTGACGGACCCTCACACTGGAAAAATCAAAGTAACACTCCATTGGACACAAATACAATGTAGTTACTTACCTCTGCCGGCAGTATCAGATGATTTACATAGAGTATGCACAATACGCACAAACAGGTACCAATACAACACTGATAAAGTCCCTCATTACATTGATTTAAAAAAAAACATTGGCGTAGTCCCTTACGACCACCAACTATTGTAGTAATTTATTATCGACTTACAAATACAAATTACATTGGTGCATGGAAGAGTTTTGGGAGTCTAAGTTAACACAAGCCTCTCTCTTTTGTGCCAATGTGTGTATTATATTATGCTATGTCTAACTTATTTAATTCTTTGGAGGAATCAAATGGTTAGAAACATATTTGCATAAGAATACTGGTACCCACACATCACCAAGTTTTCTTAGAGTAATTTGCAAGTATAGGTATAATAGTATAAACTCAGTAGATGAGTGTATAGGGGAAATGTTCACACAGATTAATAAGGGAACAGTATGATGGCGGCTTCAGTCCCTACCACCACCAAACAAAAATTAGGCGCCTACGATGGCCATACTATACCCTGCTGGGTATAATTGGGAGCGTTCGTGCATGGACGGATTTGTTGAATTTTATTTTGTATACCATGATTACAGCAAGTTTAAAGCGGGCGATGGTGACTTGGAACTGTACTGCACCGAAGCCGACGAGTTGCACAACGAGCTCCTGTCGTGTCCGCGACCGTTGCCCAGGATCGCCACCACGCCGTTGCCGCCGACGCCCAGGGACTGCAGACAGACGCGCTACGACCATTGGTCCGCTGTCGATTCGCCTTCGACGACGCCGCCTCGGCGTTTGTTAGAGTCCAGACGAATGAGCAGGAGCGAAGGAGATCTAAAAAAGTTCGTCATGCAACAATCCGCACCCACGCTGCGGTCGGCCGGCTCCCAACAACACCTCGTGCTCATGCCCCAGTCTAACGGTTTGAGACAAAAGGTAAGTGTTACAGGTGATAATATAGTGTTTTGGAAGGCTAGGCATATTAACGAGTTAATAAGTTTAAGCTTTAAGTAGAGTTAATCTTAACATTTTAACTTAACTAGTTACTTTTGGATTTCTGTTAACTCAATTATTTTTAATTACCTTGAAATCAACTAATTAAATATCAATTTTTAGAAGTTAAGTTAATTTATTTATTTTCAATTTTATTTTACTATACATTTCAATAATTTTTTTTTCTATTCAGGTAATATTATAGGTGTAAATTGTTAGTTAATTATTATCGCGAAAGTAATACGAAGCAGGTCCTGCGCCATCGCGGTCGTCGGTTCCAAAATGAAAAAAGTTAATTAATTATTGACTTATCGAAAACAAATTTACAATTATTAACAATCAGTTATCATAAAATCAATATTAAAAATAGACTTGTTTAATTTTCAAAAAAACTGACATTAGTCGAAAATTGTATAGGTGCCTGCACCTACCTTATGGGTGTCTACCATAGAAACCATGTTTGAAAGTGTACCTTATTATTAGTTATTAAAAATATATAAATATATATAGATATAGATATAACAACATAATATTTTATAACAATTTATAAATATTAAATTTAATTACTATACTTGCTAGGTACCCTAGTTATTTTCAAGAAATCAAAATGTTTAAAATTAACTACCTATTGAATTTTATGTGTACAACAACAATAATATAATATTATCTGGTTAAAAATAAATGTGTTATTAGATTAGTAATAAATGTTATTTCGTATTAACATTAAATTATTCATTTTATTTCAAATAACGTTATAAAAATAATTCGTAAAAAAAAGCTGAATGTTGTCTTATTTTTAAAGACATATTATGTTTGAGATTGCAGTATTGAAAAACAGAGTTTAATGTGGCTTGTAGAATATTACCCAATATAAGTTAAAATTTTCTTTTTCAAATTTGGTTGATTCTACATAACAGAATCATTATTCCCGTAAAGTGTATTTTTGGATACGAAATTACATTGCACCTGGTGCCCTAATAAAATAATATATTCATTGAATATTTATTATTTACATATCGAGGTAGCAGTATACATGAATACTATGCACAATCAATTGTAGAGTACCTTTAGTAACTAACTTGACCTGACCGATAGTACCTAACCTATATCAATATAACCTATTCCTTAATTTCTAAAATAAATGAACGATGAACATTTTTCAGAGTTCTTCGCACTACCTGTTGACTAGTGTGGGATTGCTGTTGGCCACACCGGGATACAGTGAACCCAACTCGATGCAAGACTTACGGCTGATCGACCAACACCTGCTCAGTACACGTTTACAAGGAATAGTGGACGAAGAAAGCGCGGGCGCTGAAGGGAAGAGCGAGGAAGATGAGGATTACGAAGACATGTTGCATATGGATATCGAACAGACGAATAATGATGCACCGCCGCCATTACCTCCAAGACAATTAAAGTATAAAATCTTAAAAATCAATAATTATGTTATATTTTATTATTATATTACCATTATGATCATGATCATCGATTACTCGGGGTTTTAAAAGAATCATTGTTAGGTCATAATGTCATATTTGTATACAACAGATGATTTATCTTGATGATAATAAAAATATTAGTCGCTAACCAACCTTTAGTCTATTCAAAATGAGACAGTACTTAGGCGGCTAAGTTTTACGCACGGGCGTTATTTTAAAGCAATTATGGCCTAACGTTTCGACTCGGTAGGGGACGAAAACCCTTCGCCGGCGAGGTACGTTCTTATTCTGAATAGAGTATAGGTAATTAGTAATTTGATGGATGATCCCAAATTTGTTCCCGATACAACCTCATTGGCCTAATTGGTTTTGTTCCCATATTGTAGGTACTTAACTATATTTTCATTCAACCCTCACGAAAACCCAACAGTGCCGGGGGGTAAACCCTAAAGCCCACCCTCTGGCTATGGCACTGCAACTCCACCATACTCTGTAGGATACACCTCAAATTTAAACGGGAACCAATTCATTTCACTTTTTAAACATTTCAAATAACCTCTCTGAACGGGAATCAATTTGGTAACTCCCATTCTTAAACAATTCTATACCTAGTTAAAAAAAAAGTTTAATTTAATTTGAAGTGGTATCCAGCTACTTAATACAAAAATACTGAAGTACACTACTATAATAAAATAGGTATTAATCGTTTCATTTAAAAACACAAATATCGACTAAGAAAATATTCAATCTTGCAGCCATTTTAATGAATCCTTGGGTTAATAATAATAAATTATGATGAAATAGCATTGTTTTATTTATACTATTGTTTTCTGATATTATACAGATATGTCACCATGGCCAATCTAGGAGGAAATAACAAATTATACATTTCCGGACCAGTACCTATATGATATATATATATATATACGTATATAATATAGTATGCTACTTATGTATATAGATAAAAAATAAATATACCTTACCTATGTAATAAATAAGTCCATAAATCATGAGAATGAGAAACATTTTGCGGGCGCCGCCGTTTGGCGGTATCTTGGTGATAAATCCAAACAATGTGGCTGAACATATTTTGAACACACCTCATTTGGATACCGGACCGCACTTTGCATACCTCCTGTGCAGCTCAAGCAAACCTCGGGTGAGAGTCACCGTTGGACTTTGTTCGAAGATATAGTATTATTGGTTACCGCATATTAGGTATATGAGACGCGTGAATGTCACAATACTAAACGGCGTTTAAAAACACACAACTTTTCGAGCACAAACAAAACATTGTTATAGTTAATAATTATTGAGTACACCCACACACATTATTATTAGCGTTAAGAGTCTACTTGTGTTGAGTAATATATATTGTTCCGCCATTTGTTCCATGATAACTTGTAAGGAGAAAAACTAGTTGCATTCCAGTCCCCAGATAACACATTTTCTTCGACATTAGGACATCATTTTACCCCTTTTGACTCTTAATATAGTTGATATTTTCTCCTGCTTAGGACATTTCCTCACCAGAAAATATATTGAAGTATTTGCAAGGACCTACCTACCTAATGTCGAGAATTCGAGATATCGCAAAATGTCAATTAAATAATATGTACTAAGTTTACATTAAGTCATTATATAGGTATTTTTTATGACATTGAACAAATTATATTCTTATTCAATTATTTTTAACACCGAACGTAAGTTTATACTTAAGAGATCACTCTCAAAATACATGTTGAACGGAACTAGTCTATATACCTACCTTTTTTGTGGATAAGACTTACCAAAATAATATGCTGAAAGCAACTTATCCACAAAAGTATAGGTATGGAATGCAAGTCATTGAAATGCTAATCGCTCAGATCCTTGTACTTAATAATGTATTTAATATTTATACACACACCGTACACAGTAAATGTGTAGTAAATAAAGTAAATATATTATACTACCCATCATAGGTGCCGCCAGGAATTTTATTAGGGGGGGTGCATCGTGCAACTATAAACTGATTACCTACTAAATAATGCTTGTATACGTAATAATAATAATGATAACAATAATAATAATAGTTAAATAAGTAAAAATTTTTTTTCAAATTGTATAACGATACAGTTATTTTAGTTTTTTTTCAACGGCTACAATGTAACGCGGGCTAGTGGCTACGATTAGAAAAAAACCTAGGCGTTTACCTTTATAATTTAAAAAATAAGTATTATAATTTATAATACATAATATAAATTATATTTGTAGACAATTATGTAAAATATGTATAATAATAAATAATAGAAATAATGTAGATAATTAGGCAAAATAAAACAGTTTCAATACCATTCAATTTTTTTAAATTTAATTAAATATTTTTTTTTGAAAAGCCAGGGGAGTGCAAGTACACCCCCATCACGGTGCCCATGCTACCCATTATAATATAATGACGTAATATTTGTTTATTAATTATGATATGTGTATAGTAATTAAAAAATTTTGAGTACCTATTAAGAAATAGGTAATTTATGTAATATTCAACATTATTTTATAGCCGTACAGGCATTTTTTCTTACATTTTAAATAATTAAATAAGTAAGATTATAATATTATGTAATAGAAATAATAAAATTAATGTACCTAATATAAGTGTTACTTACCTATGATTTGTATTTGAACTCTAAAATAAAAATATCATATCTGATCATATAACATTCCCTCTTTGGTTTAGGCCACTTTTTAAAATGTTACCTACTTACATGAAGTATACTTTGGTTGGTAGGTACCTACTTCAGTTTTGAGCTAATAGCGAGAAATGTATAGATTTTGTTATAATGTCATGAGTGTTTTTAAAATTTAACACAAGGCTCCTAAAAATGGTTCTTGCGACTTACGATAACAATTAAAAAAAATCAAAAACACATTGTCACAATTTTTAATTTTATGTGAGTTTGAAATTTAGATTTTGAAATGTTGGATAACAATTTTTCTTCAATTGGTTGAAGTTATTTTGTAGTAATATAAAAAGAATTAATCACACTTGACATTATTTTCACCATTATGCATACTACTACAGTATAATTATTTTTAGTGCATAAAAATGCTTGCTGTATCCATAACATTATAAATAAATTACTTAATATAATAATATAATTATTATATACTTACATTATACTAGCTGTTCCAAGACGGCGTTGCCCCCGTATTAGTCTGTTTTTCGGCATTTTCGTAGGCCGTGTAGTATTGCTATTATGTATGAGAAAATATATTTTTTTTATTTGTAGTTCATTAGTGGTTTCGGAGATCATAGCGTATACTATTGAGTATGTCATATTAATATTTATATAATGTCACTAATAATAACCCACGGGATTAAAGATAGAACATAGTCTGCAATGAATAAGTAAATTACAAAGTTCTTTATTGATAACATAAACAAATATAATTTTATAAATGATGTACATTTTAAACTATTTTTAATAATGACCTACATTATTTTGAATTATACCAATTTATATAATTATATAATAATAATTTGAATTTAACTAAGAACTAATTGGTGCACAATATTTTTGGTTAACCGGTCTTTTGCCAATATAAATAGATTTGATGGCTTCCCCATACGTGAGCATGCAACATATGGTTGCCCATGGGAAAAACATGCATTTTCCAAGTCCAAGCTACAAATGGACATTGACGTATTATACTTATCTATGAGACATTGTTTGTCCTTGAAACTTGTTTATGGTCATTGCTAATGCCAAATGAATAGGAAATTGGTATAGGAGATTCTGATGGTATCATTGAACTACGTGGCAACTGCACAATTTCTCCTTTAAACTTCCCAGTCAAAATAGTTGCTTCAAGAACATTTCCGGTGATCCTTTTGATTACCAAACGTGTACCGTTGTATAATCTAGGAGGATAGAAATTACGCAAAAGAATAACTGGTAAACCAATTTTCAATCGAAGATTGTGTGGTGGCATTCCTAGTAGGTATATCCAGAGAATTTAAAAATTCGGTAGGAAAATTTACCGTTTCGTTTTCATCGACAGTAGTGTCGATTGATTTAAAATACATCAATATGTTAATATGCGGTTAGTTTGCTGTCTCTCTCGCTTTCGGGCTTTAAATGTGTCTATATGATGTTCACGCACCGTTCTGTTCTCAACGGCTTTTGTCGCAGACGTTCATCACGCTGCTCTCGAGATTCTTGTGCACGGCTCTGTGCTACGTTTCTTGCAACAATTTCTTCAGCCGATTCATGATGTCTTACAACACGTTTGCGTTGTGCCTCATTGCTATACGCATTGTTGAGGTTAGACTATTTTGGCGGCATTTTACTGAAAATAAATGGGTGAGAATAATAAAATTTATACTCACACGTTTTTAATAAAAAAAAATATCCAACTCCAAAAGCACCAAGGATCCCTTCCCCGTCCCTTTGGGGTAAAATTTCGTACGGGACACGGACAATGCTAAGCACACGGGAAATGGAGGTGTACTATAACCGGGAACGTCTAACTCCAAAAGTGCGAATAAGAAATAAAATGTTGTACTTACTTCAGTTAAATAGTTCAAGGTCTTCAATAGAAACTTCACTGAATAATACTGATGAATACGTCGTACCGAACTTCGTATTTTATACCTTTGAAGATTGAAATATCTAGAACGAAGCTTTAGGGAACATTTTATACGACATCACTCCCTATTCTCAAACATTGTAGATCTTACTAGAAAATTCTATAACTTTCTTTTTCACAATTATTGTAAATAATCTAAGACCGTGGTTGAGGGCCTCAATCGAGATAAAAAATTTTCTATATATTACGGAGATAATAATATAATAATATATTATTAACTATTCTATATATTATGGAGATATAGAAGATAGTATAAAATAGTTTATAGATTAACAAGTTTTACTTCTTGGAACAATAATTCACATCTACACGCCGCCGACGATAAAACATATAGGTACAAAAGAAAAAATGTCAGGTTGCAGGTAGCTGGAAACGTAGTATCGCGGTCGGTGACGGGAATACCCGAAATACACCATGCAATTATACCTAAGTATGTAAATGTATTAAAAAGTTAATAAATATAATATTAAAACATTTTAGATAAAAACTATCCTATCTTTTAAGATGGACCAAAATACACAAAATGTAAAAAGTTTCATCAAGATCGGTCCAGTAGTTAAGGAGTTCATCCCGGATAAACACTGTGACACGATATTTATATATATGTATAAAGTATGATGATGAGGTATTTAGGTATGTTAATAACAGTATTTAAAAAGTTGTACTTAACGTACTAGTATTTAAATTTAAATGTCTATGTCAATTAAAGTCTTCTTTTTCTTATAGTTGAATGTTTTGAGGTGACAAAGAGATGCAAACCAACGTTTATTCAAAGCAAAACTCATTGGAATAGATGGACACATTTTATGAACATAGTATATATTATAAAATGAGCAAATTTAGTATTTTACAAGTTCAAATGTAAATAGGCTTCAAAATGCCCAGTAATATTAATTTATGAACACAATTTCATAAATAGGTAGTTTTAATTCTATCTTTAAGCCATCAAAGTCAATATTGTTGGTGTTACAAATTTCAAAAATATCTTCATTTCTCAAAATTAAAGTTTCATCTTGGTTTTGTTTATACTCAAGTAATACGAGAAGAGATTAAATTCTGTTATCATGATGTATTGTGATGCAAATGGCAATGATTAAATATTTTTGATTAATCCATTATTTTTTTCTATAGTTGATAGTTTAAAATATTATACTTTTCTTGATAAAATAACTCTTATTTTATCATTTAAAAAATGCCTTTTCAATAATATTTTGCTGATTAATTTACAAAATAACAAGGGACCATGGCCTCGCTTAAATTTTTAGAGGGGGGCAGTTGCCCCCTCCCACCAGTTAACGCCTATGACCATTGATTATAGAAGATATTATTACTTATCGTGTTTCCAAATTATGTATTAAACTCTTCACATAAGTACTATGAAATAAAAGACAGAAAAAAATATTTGATACTAACTAGGTTTTAATGTACATTTAAATATTTTCAATTTTCATAATATTTCAGGGCAGGTCAGTACTTTGTACACATGGATATGGATATTGAATTATAATGAAATATTGTAAATGGATTGAGGAAAAATAGTTTATTTACAAATGAATATCAAATTTCAAAAAATGTTTGATTTCTAACGGGTATAAATTAATGCAGTAGAAATTTAAACTTTATTTTTGATATAAGTGTTTTGTTATACTTATGTGTTACTGTAAATAAAGTCTGATGAATGTAATCTTTCATTTATTTTTCATTTATCAACAAACGGTTATTATGAACCCTTAAAACAAATCCACAATTTTCTATACACAAAAAAAAACATCATAATATAAATAAATATTTGTTACGAAAAAAAAAAAAAAAATTAACTACAAAAAAGTAATATTAATAATAGTAGTGATAATAATAATAATCATAATAATAATAATAATAATAATAATGATATAAATAAAGATTATACAATTCATCAATAGTTTTAATGCATTTAGAAATGTACACATTCATTTATTTTGATAAGTATCAATAAATGTTTATAGACGGATGTCAAATTGACTTTGGTTTTATATAATAATTGTTTATTTTTATCTTTTTAAACAATATCATATTTCTAAAAAAGAGCATAATATATTAAGTTTATACTGAAAGTCAGAACATAATTGATTATATCAATGAACACAGGTGTATACATATATAATATTGTTTGTAACAAGGAATGATATCTAAATTAATAGTTTTTGGAATAGTTATGGTATGCCAAAGTGAGTCTTGTAAGTGTTTGTCTTGTGTAATAAACATTTAGATATAAGTGATTATACCATGAACTAAGGAATGTGTTAGTAAAAAAAAAATATACATGTCTGGAATGATATTAATATACTAGACTCAAGTCCAAATTATCCATAAAATATTTTATAGACCTTACACATAGTATTTTTTCACCTTGGTCAAAAAACCCTTACTTATAAGAAATAAGAAAAAAATCCTACATATTATTTTATAACTCATGCCTCAAGTTTAGAATGTATATAATATATTTTTTTAGTAGTAGACACAGAGTAATTGTTAGAAATATTATGTTAAAATGGATTTCATAGTTTATGAGTTTATATTAGTTTTAGGATAAATCTTAATCCAATAACTATGTGAACAATTTGAAATTAAAAATACATTATAATTTACTATTTAAATTAAATTGATTAGGTATTACAAAATAAAATCATGAAAATTATTAATAATCGAAGAAAAAACAATATTAACTTAGTGTATCAATGCTTAATTAGTTTTAGGTGCTGACCTGTCATTGACAGCAATAGACTTTCTTAACACCATACCTTTCCTTATTTGTTCCATCAGTGAATCATGACATGTGGCTGGATCTACAACAGAGTGTCTGGCAGGAGCAATCCAACGTCGGCTTAATTTAGGAG